TCTGAGCAGTTTTTTAAAAAGGCATTCTGTTGGATTTAGAATGAAACACAGTTTGAGGCACACATTCTGGGCACACATTTTGCCTGTTAATATTACAAAGGAAAAAAAATCCCCATTTTTATCTAGCCTGTAACCTATGTTTCTGTACAGTCAGATATAATGTATCTAATAAAAACATGGGATAGAATAAGGATATCGAGGGTGTATGTGTACATATGTATATATTACACACTTATGTCTGTATTTTTAAATAAATGCAATGCTATCTGTACGTATGTTACTATTTGTATAGTAGATATTAGTGTCATTTGTATGTATTGCATTATGGACTTACTTAAATCTGTATTTGTTACATAAACTGATATATAGACACACATATAAATTATTTTAAATAAACAAGTTGTAAATGATAGCAGAATTGCTGTTTAAAAATGGCAGAAAACTTGAGTTATTCACAATCTTATGGTGAATATTACCAAAGAGAAAGAATAGTTGGAGAACTTTCAAACAAAAGTGTTGTGTTATTGGGAGGTGTATTTAAACCTTGATTATATTTTAAATGAATTTTGAGTTTTACCTTTTGGGAGCACCAGGCACTGATAAAAATCTAAGACAAGTTGTGTCTAAATGCTTTGTGTAAAACAAAGGCACTAAGAGAAAACTTGCAAAAATGAATGCATTCTCCAGCCCCACAACATAAAAGGATTGTAATAGTTTCCCCCTTTTCCACAAAGTATAAATGCTAGTAAAGTTTTAACAACAGCAGCAGCAAATATGCTTCACAAATGAAAATAATTTTGGATCCATTGATTGTATTTTGTTCTACAAAACAAAAAGAAAGACCCTCCATGCTTTTCTTGTTTGAAAAAATGTAAATATTTACTAATGTGAATATACAGGATTTGGGATTCTTTTATCTTTGTTTTTAATTTTTGATTTTTTTTTTTTTTTGCTTTTGCCATATCCCCAACATATGAAATTTAATAATATTTGATAGTTTGGAAATAAAGTTTGTTTAAAATAAAGTTCTCATCTAGTTCAGAGAAACACCAAGAGCAAAATTTGTCTCTTTAAATGATGCTAATTAGGCTAATTAAAAACAAACTTTTTTTTAGCTGTTGCACTATGCAAAAATAAATATTCTTGTTTGCAGACCTTTTAAGAAAAACGTCACCCATCTATTTTAAACCAGACTGCTAAAACCAAACAAACTGAGTTTTTACATAGATCTTGAACCATTTTACAAGTCATTCACAAGAGCAGTTTTTTCAGAGACGGAGAACTCATTGAACTCCGACATCAGTGCTGTGCAATACTGCAATGAGTTTTGTATGTATTTTGCAAATCAATGAATGGGAATTTTGCCAGAGTAAGGACTGCAGGATTGGGCCCATATCATTATGAGTTCTTGGGCACACACAAATGTATGTGTAGATGCAAAACAAGGGAGAAACAGAATGATGACTATATAAATTTCTGCTCAACCTATTAGACTTTTAATGTATTTAAATTTACATTGTATCTATAGATGGGTATATAATATGTATGTTTGTGTTATATAAATATTTATTGTAAATATTCCTGGAGAAAGGGATGACAACTTTTTTGAATTGGTCACCTGTTTTAGGGAGGAAATATTTATTCTGTTGCATTTAGAAATAGTAAAATATTTTAATTATTAAATATTTAAATTTTGAATGCAGAGACAGTATTTTTCAAAATAACTAACTTTTTACAAAGTTAGATGTAGAAATAGCTTTTCCATCTGGGGCTAGATAGATGCGGAGGAAGCTTTCCCAACAACGTAAAAAGTTGGAGCCCAGTGCTGAGTCACAATACGCAGTTGAAAGGTCTTGTGTGGAAATGGCACTGTGATGCCTTTTGCTGATTAATGAATCACAAATCTAACACCCCACACACACAAAAGGAGAAAGAATGAATGAAAAATAATAAAACGTGTGAACTTTAATGGAAGGGGGAAGGGTGGGAACTCAGAATTCAACCCTCCAGAAAGCCCACAGCTCTTCTTTCATCAAAATATTTGCACTCACCCCCATCTATCCCTTTCTGGTGTCCGACGCTTAGTGAAATGCTTAGCAGGGTTAGTCACCTGTTGATGACTAAATGCCTGCATGTGGCTTTCTTTCTCTCTCATTTAGAGACAACAATTAAAAAAAAAACAATACCCCAACAATTGTACTTTGTTTCCCATGAAAGGTCAGCAGAAAAGGGAGAAAAATGAATAAACCAGTATCATATTTCCAAGTCCAGCGTCTGGCATTTGGGCTGGGGCAAGGACAGAGGTCTGCCTTTAGAGTAGGGATTTTCCTTATGGGAAAAACTAAAAAAAAAAAAAAAATCTGGAATGGAAGAAAGAGAGGAACAGAATATTAGAGAGAGGAAAGACAGACAGCTCCTGTCCAATATTTATCTATCTAATCATTTTCTTTCCCTTTTCCCCATTTTTCTGCTGTCTATTTATAATTTTCCATCTCTTTTCTTATTTCTATATGCATCATTATCCCCATCTTTCTCTGACTGTACCCTTTTCTCTCAGTGACCCCCCTCAACACTCCGACATTTCTAACACAGGGTGGCACCGCACGCTTACCTCACCCCCTCCTACTAAAACTTTCTTTTGTAGAAAAGAGAATAACCAATCTGCCTCTACCTCTCCTCCTCTCCCCCCTTTATACCCCCCCCTCAGGGACTGGTGTTTCAGCTTGTGGTTAAAGCTTTACACGTCAAGAAAAAAAAAAGAGGGCTAAAGAATATCCTCACAAAAAAGAAAACCACACACCAACCCAAACCAAACCCTAAATGAGTGGGATTGGCAAATGGGATTATTAATCCTGGCCAAAAATAAAGGACTGCAGACTTTGTGCAGCCCCCTTGGAGAAAGGAAGCACTAAATCACAAACCTACCTTGAAGGGCTGCAAGTCCTGAATGTAGCTTTGGCTTTACCAAATGGATTTCAGAGCAGGTAGGAGACCTCTGCACCTTTCCCAACCTCCCCTTCTCCAAAGGCAAGCCAGCCCTTCCCCTCCTCTTTGCCTGCTGTGTCCCATCTCCCCTCCCCACCCAGCGCGCCCTCCACCCACAACTCTTTGGGAAACACTCTTTAATTTTCTGCAATCTCTTTCCAAAATGCCACTAACAAAAGCTTCGCAACATTCATAGATCTGGAGTATATGTGGAAGGGATGGCATTCTCTCCCCCCCCCCACGCGCACACACTCTCTTAAGATATATTTTTAAAATCTCTCTCTTTTTTCGTAGTTCTCTTGCTTTCAGAAAAGCACGTCACCCTTTAGTTCCATAGCTCCCTACCTTTGCCCAAAGCTGAAGAGCCAAGGGGGGAGGGGGGGAAAAGAGAAAAATGAATGGAGCCTGCTCTTGTGTACAATTGCATCAAATACATTCTTGAAAGCAACCTGGTTCTGCTTAACACTTGAATTTAAAAAAAAAAAGCAAGCAGCTTGGAGAGAGGGTGTATGCAATTTTTTTTATTCTTGCATTCCTGGACACCAATCAAAAGAGCAAATCAAGGGAGGTGGAAAGGGGGAGAGAGCGAGAGCGAGAGAGCATGTTTAAAACTTTGCACACACACACACATGCACACACACACACACACCAAAAAAAAAATATCCGAGACAGCTTTTCCACCTAACACCCAAGCAAACACAAACCAAAACAAATAGGGAAGAGGAAAAAAGAGAGAGCGAGAGACAGGGCAGAACAATCAGGGAGAAAGGGAGGCTTCGCCGTTCGCTTGGGGCTTTGGGTTTAGAGTAATAACTAACCAAAAAGTTTGTTTTCTGTTGAACAAATTCTGCAGCCTTCCTTCCCCCACCCCAACCCCACAATCTGAGTCTACTATGCTATATGTTGCTGGGGAGATTTCAGGTAAGACCTAAGCGTCTCTACTATTTTGGCAGGGGATGGGGGTATAGGGGCGGGGGTCTCGCTGTGCGTGTCGTGTTTTTCTTTTCCGAACTGCTGCTGATTCTAATTTGATTTGATTAAAACGTCTGTCTGGCTTTGTGATTGATTTAAGACTTTCCCCCCTTTTTTCTTAGCTTTCTCTCGTTCTTTCTTTTCCATGCATGTTTGTGATTACTGGGGGGGAAATGCCGCTTAGCACGGAGAATTAAAATCCAGAACTGAGAGAGAGAGAGAAGAGGAAAATGAAAGTCACCAGGATTTAGAGCAGAAAGATTTTTTTTCTTCCTATGTCTTGATTTAAGCACTTGCAAAAAAAAAAATAAGAGAGAGAAAGTGTTTGGTTGCTAAAATAGACTGCATTTTTAAAGGACTTTGAAGCTAGGTTTCAGGGACACTGAGGAAATACCCCTCTTTGGAAGGCAGGCACTCCCCCTTCAAAATACTAAAATACTCCAGAGTTTTTCTTGGTTGGTAAGAACATTTTTTTTTTTGTAATCTTCTGAGTTTTAACATTTGAAACCTAGTTAGAAAAGTGCCTCATGTGTTACGTTACTTTGTGGGGGAGCGAAAAATGTTTTCAGGGAAAGGAACAGCCCCAGAGCATGGAGGGTGTAATTTGTATAAGCAGTAGGGGTTTTGTGTTTTGCAGACTACACTGCAGGCTTTCTGGGAATGAGGTTGCCATTAAAATAAAATACAATTGTAAAAACAACCCTTAAAAGGTCAAAATCTTGACTTTCCTGGACATGCTCTTTTGACAATTGTGCTGTTAAGTTTGGTGCACGGGATGAGACAAGATTCTCTTTGGATGGAGTCAGTTACTTGAAAAACAAAAAAATGTGTGTTCATTTTTGTTCCAGACTCTGTAGGTGCTGGAGTGAGTCAGGAAGGGCATAGAGGGGAAAGTGGGGGAGAAGGGCCAGAAAATTTGAGGATAGATCCATTAAATCTTTCTACACAAAATGAAACCTCAGGGCAGGATTTTTTCTATCAGATCTCTGAGGACTAGAAACTCAAATTCTCCATGCACGGTCCCCAGAGAAACATGCTGTCTGTCTGTCTGGCTTGTAGCTGGCAAGGGCTGTGTCTTGGCCAAGAGAGCGGAACAAGGAAAATCTCTGGGCAGATTAAGGAGGGAAAGACAAGCTGAGAACTGGAAGGAGAGCAATGTACAAAGGAAGGGGATATGGAGAAGGGAAAGTGTCCCACAAAATCCCACCTTGTCCCCATCCCATTCTGTCTCCCCAGGTAGATGGTGCTGGGGGAAGCTGAAATTTCTCTGTGGTTGGGGAGAAGGGAAGGGAATGAGTCCTGGAATGAGCTGTGAAGCTCGGAGCTTCAAAGCCCCCCGGCTTTGTCACTCATCAGAAACACTTGGATCCTGACAGGAACCGATGTACCCAGCTCCTATTTGGCAGGCGCTGCAAGGGCACAGCCCCTGTGCACATCTGGGCTGCATTAGGCACAAACCAAAAAAAACCTCCAAAGGGAAATGCAGAGGGCTCTCCTTACGGGATTGGCTTTGGGGAGGATTTATTCCCTGCTAAGTGGCACATTTTTCCATAAATTAAAACCCTTCCCCACAGTACCTGCACCTATATACACAAAGCAGTTTTTCTCTCATACTCACATATACGCAAACACAGAGGTACAGACACACACTGGCACACTCGTGCATACACCGGTACACACACAGAGGCAAACTCTCTTACACAGCATCCCCTATATAAACACAGAGGAAAAGTCTTTCACATACACTCACACACAGAGGTGCACACATTCACACAGGCAAACTGTCTCACACATGCACCTATGCCAACATAAACGCAGGCAAACAGATAGAAACCCACCAATTCCAATCTGCATGCAAGGAGGGACCTGCGGCAACACTGACAGAAAATACAGGCTACATCTGCAGTTATTCAGTATCCAAGCAAGTGCTAGTTAGGCAGCGCACTAACATTGTAGCATCATGTCACCAAGGTCTGTGCCCTACTCAGGGTTTGGCTTCAGAACACTGATCTGGAGAAGCTGGAGCCCAAACCATGTTATTGTTTGCTCCCTTCCTATCCCCAGGGCAGCTACATCGAAGATGAGAAGCAGACACTAAGGCTATGTCTAGACTGCAAAGAAAAGTAATTTGCAGTTTGCAATTTGCGTATCTTTTTCTGCTTTTTTTCCGGAAGAGGCTTTTCTGAAATTTGGCCCATCTCCACAGGGCCAAATTTCAGAAAAACCTCCTCTTTCGGAACATCCCTTCTTTCTCATACAATGAGGATTACAGGGATGGTGAAAACGCGTCTGCTTTTTTGGAAATTGTTCTAAAAAAGTGGACCCGTTCCATGGACATGGCATAGCTTTTCCAGGATATCTCCAGTATCCTGGAAAAGCTCTGCAGTGTAGATATAACCTAAGATTGCTCAAGGGGGAACATACCCATCTCAACCCTTACCTGACACCCCCTCCCCCGAAATCAACAGCAAGACTGGTCTGGAAACTGGCCATGGGTGAGTGAGTAGGGGCATGTGGCAGATACCATGTCAGCTCTCTCTGGAACAGGGCCAGTCTCATGAACCATCAGAGAGAGAAGGGACATTCTTGTGGAGGGTCTGACTAGGGGACATACTTGAGACATGGCTTAGACAGTGCAGATCCTGACCACTGTTAGAGTCTGGATTCCAGCCACACATGCAGGCACATTGTATATGTCTGCACAACATGCTTGCCTGAGCACACACATGCTGACATGCTCTCACTCACATGCTCATGCATGTACACACACGCTTGCATGAGCATACACACTGACATGCTGTCACTTACAAGCTCAGACCTGCATGCGCACACTCATAAGCACACATGCTGACATATTAATGTCCACATATACATGCTTGCATGAGCATACACATATGGTCCTACTCACATGCTCATGCATGTGCACATGCGGTGGCATACTCACATTCACATGCACATGTTGACATGGTGCCACTTATATACTCATGCATGTGCATTAATGCATACATGCACATCTCTTGATAGTCTCCCACTTGCATTCCTATCCATGCTCTCCCGCTGACAGGCTGCCACTCACGTTCCCATGAATACAGACTGATGTCTCCCACACATGCATGTGCACTCACTAGCATGAGTATGCACTTTGAATGCTCATGCATGTGCAGGTACTCACATGAGTGCAGAGGCTTGCATGCACACACACACCTGAATGCCTGGACACACTCCCTTGCTTATACTCATAAGTCTTCATGTGCATAGTTTCATGCACATATGACCGTGCAAACACTTATGTGCTCGTGCACACATTGCCTGTACTAGCTGAAACACTTGATTTACCTTTGCCTTTGGCAGCTTGGAAATTGAGGAATAGTAGGTACATATTTACACTGCAGAGCGTACTTGGGTTGGGGTTTGCCACGCTCTCTTACTTTTGTCCACACTGCAGAGCTGGATATGCCCAGTTCCCGAGTTACACAGGTTTGGTGTTATGCCCTGGAAATCCTATCAGAGGGTTCTTTATGCCTCGTTATTCTGAGCCACTTTAGAAACTAGTTTGCTATGTACTGTATTGTGAATTTCTCTTCACATATAGGATCCATCTTCACTGCAGAGTTAACTTGAGTCCCATCCATACACAAAACTGCTTCACTGAGAGTGGTGGTGTTTTCAGCTCAAGTTGGTTTACCAGTCAGGGAATATAGGTTACACTTGAGTTACCCCAGCTTGTCAACTGCTAACATGACCACTCTGTGCATCTGGAATGTTATTTCGCAACATGGTTGCTCTCACTTGAGCTAGGCTAACTCAAGAGTTCATTCCAGAGTAGATAGCTATGGTTAATTCTGCAGTGATGACACAGCCAGGTTAAATTTACTGCTGGCAGAGGCAGGAAGGGGGACACAATGGTTTTTGTGGTTGGCTTGTTTGCCAAATTCCTCTGCCTGGTATTCTCCCCTGTTCTCTTATCGTCAGGCTGGCATGTGAGACTGGGAATGTGCCCTAATGTTGAAGTCAGGATGGCTGGGTTGTGTTCTATTCACTGAGACCTAGAGCAGGTCTCTTCCCCTTTCTGGGCCTCATTGCCCCCCTCCCCCATGAAGATGGTGTATCTGTTTCTTGGCACATGGCAGCCAGTGAGGTTCTGGCCACAGTGTGAGGCATTTGGAGCTCCTCAAGTGCTAGGTACAAGCAGAGGGCTGGTGAGAGTTAGCGGAGGAACTCTGGTAGTCTTTCTCAGGAGGATAATATAGGTTCATGGCATGGGGGCATGATGTGGTCTGGGCCTGGTTGTTCGGCTCACTTTCCCTTGGCATCCCCACTGTCTTGTCCCCTCTACTCTGACCATTGGGGCATCTGCTGCAGCACTGTCTGTGTACAGGGCTGGACCACATGTTTTAGGGCCATCAAGGGATACTGCAGCCATGGCCTGAGATAGCAATGGGTTCAAGGGGCAGGTTAAACATGAGCCAGATTGGGCATGGGCCATGCTGAGGAAGGGAATGAGAGCAAAGTTATTGAGTTTTGGGGCTCAGGCTACTGCAGAAGAGAAATGTTGCCAGCAATGGATTATTGTCCTAGTGTAGGCAAGGAGCATGGTAGGGATGTTAGGGTAGGTCTACACTACCCTCTTGTTCGAACTAGGAGGGTAATGTAGGCATACCGCACTTGCAAATGAAGCCCGGGATTTGAATTTCCCGGGCTTCATTTGCATAAGCGGGGCTCCGCCATTTTTAAAACCCCGCTGGTTCGAACCCCGTGCAGCGCGGCTACACGGGGCACGAACTAAGTAGTTCGAACTAGGCTTCCTAGTTCGAACTACCGTTACTCCTCATTTCACGACGAGGAGTAACGGTAGTTCGAATTAGGAAGCCTAGTTCGAACTACCTAGTTCGTGCCCCGTGTAGCCGCGCTGCACGGGGTTCGAACCAGCGGGGTTTTAAAAATGGCGG